GTTCCAGGCACTGTATTAAACACTTTGCTGTTATTAACTCATTTGATTTTCACAGCAACCCTGGGAGGGAGGTACTCTTGTTAGTCCATTTTATAGCTGAGTTAACTAAGGCAAACAGAGATTAAGTGACTTGCCCAGAGTCACGCAGCTAGTAAGTCTGAGGTCAGATTTCAATTCAGGTCTTCCCAACTCCAGGCCCAGTGCCATATCTCTTTTGCCACTTAGTCTCAAAGGAAGACAGGGGTTATAAGAGGTGGAGATAAGGAGGAGATGGGAGATAAAATGTCTAGACTACACATAGTGTGAAATAAAGCTTAAGAAGGAACCAGATGGTAGAAGACCTTAAAAGCCAGGCTAAGGTGTTGGCATTTTGTCCTGTAGGCATTCTGATGCCCCTGTTTTGTTTCTTCTTTTGGCAGCAGTGGCTAATACTTGTTTTATCTTTGTGTCTCTGCTTCCTTATTAAGTCGGTCATAATGCTCTATAAACAAACACTTGTGTATTAGTTGGATTGCTATTTAATAAAGAAGACTATTATATAAACCCTTATGCTATAAATCTTTTTGAAAAGGGGAACCAAACAGGATTCAAATTTTGCCAGTATTATTAACAATATACTATAATAATTATTTTCCAAACTTTTAAAAACTTCATTCTTTAAACTTTACAACTTCTAATTTGTTGATTAATTTTATGTGAGAATATTGTACTATATGCTGGGGGTGGGGGTACAAAGATGAGCTCCCAAATTCTATGATTTTGTGAGTACACTGGTGAAAATTTCACTGTCATTGCTATGAAAATAGTTTTTAGTTGTTTCTTAGAGTGCTATCTTGTGTATATCTCAAAATATAGGTCTTCTGAAGGATAGGATTCTCTACTTTTTAATGATAATATCTATGTCATTAATCGTGGCAATTGTTATTGACTTTGTAAAATGTACATTGGTAGTAAAAAAGTTTCTGATGTTAGCACTAAAAATTGTAGATTGGGAGGAATGTGGTTTTGAAGACTCTGAGTCTCCTACTCGGTGCTAACATCTGTCACTAGATGGAGACTCAGCATAGCTTGGTGATCTTTGCTAACACAAAAAACAAGCGAATCTTGAATTTGGGTTTGTCCTTTGAGGTTTTGCGTTTCAAAATTTTACATACTTCCGCTACACTATTATGTATTTAAAAAACTTGATATTTAGCATAATTCTAAGGTTTTGATAGAACCCTTTTAGAGTTTTAAATTAAACTAATATATACTGTAATATACAAGATTTAGCCTGTACATCTTCCCCACCCCCAGCCAAATCTGACTTGTATAAAACCTAAGAGAAGCCTATAACTATACTCCTAGTACCCTAGCCACAGCTTAAACTTCACTGGTGTTGAAGCCTGTGCCAAGTGCCCCTGCTGCTCATACTGCAAGATAAAGAAAGCACATACCTCCTCCTTATACCCTGTTAGAATTGGATGCAAGTCCACAGTAACAAAGCTGGGTCAAGTATTGCAGGTGAATTTCAGAGGCTGGGTCAGGGAAAAGGAGCAATTTAGACTATAGGAACAAGTATGCTTATGTTGCAGTCAGAGATGGTTTACCGTTGTCAAAATGTCTCATCTTTTTTGAACGTGATTGGGCAGAGTTTGAAAACTCTAGCAGTTAATGGCTAGAAAAAGCTTTAGGAAGTTTTCAAAGAGTTGTCTGTGGTGGACTGTGGTTTCCTCTTATTTTCATCTTAATGTGTTTCATGTGTCTCTATCTCCTGACCCTTGGCAAAATAATGTCAGCATTCTCCAGGTGGTCCATGGTCAGGTCCATTGTGGTTACCAGCAGAACACAGAACACTTCACAGAGTAGGTGTGAGTTATGAGATGTCATGCAAATTTGGCCCAAAAGTCATGTTTCTATATCTTTGCAAATAAACTCAGTTTTCTTTCACCGAAAGAGTACCTAGTATTGAGGGAATCATTTATGATACATATAAGTAACTACCTATATCATTACCCTTGCAGATAGAGATCTAACTACAGAACCATTTAACTTTTTGCCCTTTCTTGTATCCCTTCCTGAAGTGAGATAGGATGGCTAGGGCTAGGTGATGGGGAACAGATTCTTTAGAGTTCTCTGTTCTCTTCTCCAAAGAATTTGTAATTTGGGCAGTCTTGGATTTCACTTGCCACTTTGGACTAGACCTATGCTGATTTAAGGAACTACCTGTATGGAAATTATTTCCACTGATACAGACTGGCAGGTCACCTGTAAATGATAGATAGAGGCAGTAAGAGGTTAAGTCACCTGCCAATAGGTGACAGAGGCATAGCTTGATCCTGAGTCTTCCTGACTCCAGTGGCAGTTCTTTGTATTATGTATTACGTGTTATGATAGTTCTTCACAGTTCAAAGCGAAACAAAAGTTTACCTTGAATGAATATTCAACATAGGCTCCAAATATTCTCTGTAATGCCACAATAAATACTGTCTCATTATTTTCCTTATGCCTTCTATGTTTTCTTCATGCATAGTTGCCATATTAATTAGTCTCTAGGATGAGAAAGGAAATATAACAGAGATCCTTGAAGACATCTCAACCTAGCTTAGTAGCTATAAGGCACACACACACATGCACTTTACTTGGATACTATGAATGTTCCATAATTTCCCTTCATTGAATCAGATTGAAAGTAGTCCACACATTCATATATTATGTGACTCTCATGTTTTACCATAAATCCTCCATTGAAAATCTCTCCAGCATTTGGTAGCTTTCCTTATTTTGTTTTTATATTTCATATGAAATATTTTGTTTTTATATTTTATATGAAATATTTATATATTATTTTGTTTTATATAATTTTAAAATTATTGATATATTTTGTTTTTACATCACCCACATTTCCCATTGTATTCCTCCCCAGCTCCTCCAGAGAGCCATCTCTTATGATGAAGAATAAAAGAGGAGAAAATGCAGCAAAATTAACCCACGTATCAAAAAAAGGCCAACAGTATGTGTAACGTTCCATACTCATAGGCCTCCCCCTTCTGCAAAGAAATGAGACTAGGGACCTTTTCATTCTTGTTATTTTTCTTGTTCTTTTTAGGCCTCAAGTGTCTTGAATGTATTATTCAGGCTATCTGCTTGTTCTTTTCATCTCACTGTCTAGGCCATCTTGTCCTACATATACTCAGTGATATCTTTTTGATTCTTAGTGGAAATCAGCAGTGATTGTATACAGCACCATACTTCCATCTACAGGGGAGCTTTCTATTGCCCTTTCAGTTGTTTGTTTGAATTTTTCTGATGTTATATTCTGTGAGTCATAGCCAGATAGCATCACTTGGAGAATATTGGTATTGAATCGATAAACTTTTATAGCAATACTCATTTTTAGATCATTGAAATCACTCTGATTTTTCATATGCATTCCAGGGTACTGCTTAGCTTGGAACCCCAGCCTATTATCCATCTATAGTACCCAAGATGCATATATTGGTGGTCTTATTCATTGAACCACCTCTCCAGTTCCATGTTATAATCTGGGCAGTCTAGATTTTTCATACACTTTTTTTCACCCATTGTGACTGGTTAAATTGATATCTTTTGGATTGTTGTAAATTTCACTGAGAAGGCTTTGTAGCATTTTAGAACTCAAAACAATTAATTTTGGAGTCCATCACCACTTATAAGAAATTCATCTTTTGTTTTGACTTTATGATGGCTTTCTTCCATGTCACTGGCAAACATACATCTCCCTGCTTTAGACTTCCCATGATAACTTGCAACAGATTGTCAAAATAGTCTACGCAGTCAAGTCTGCCTTAGAATCTTACATGATTTTGACATGCATGAGGCAAATTATTTGAAAATGGCTTTTTAGTTTACGTTTTGTTCTATATAAAGAACAGTTAGGTGGCACAGTGGATAGAAAACTACCCGGAGTCACAATGAACTGAGTTCAATTCTAGCTGTGTGACCCTGGGCAAGTCACTTAACCATTGTTTGCCTCAGTTTCATCAATTGTAAAATGAGGATAATAATACTGTTTACCTCCCAGGGTTGTTGTAAGGATCAATGAGATGTTATTTGTAAAGCGCTTAGCACAGTGCCTGGCATATAGTAAGCACTAAATGTTTATCTCTCTTCTCCCTTCCTCTGTTCCCCAGTTAGTTATAACCTCTGAATATCACAGTTCTTCTCAAAATTGAAAAGGTAAACTTTTGGCTAGGGCTTGTAAGGAGAAATTTTTAAAGAATCCTAAGTCTGATAAAAAAATTATAATCCTTGAATTTTAACCTGAGCTTGTAGAGATTAGTTGACTTTCTTGAAGACTACACAGATAGCGTCATTGTTAGAGCTAGAACCCTATCTCCGGACATAGTCTATTCCAGAGATTCTTAACAAGGTATATTTGAACTTTAAAAATACATATATATGTGTGTATATATATATATATATAGAGAGAGAGAGAGAGAGAGAGAGAGAGAAAACTATTTCAGTATAATTGGTTTCCTTTGTAATCTTGTGTATTTTATTTTATGCAATTTAAAACATGATTTTGAGATGGAGGTTCATAGGCTTCACCAGACTGAAAAGTTCCATTTCAATAAAGAGGAGCCCACTTCTTTATGAAAACTTTGATTCCTATAGCTACAAGTTAACTTTTTACTTCTGAAATCTTATAGGAGTTATAAACTATTCATGTGTCACATGCTAACTTTGGTTTAATTTATTTGTGTGAATGTTTTGACTTAAATTCCATGAGAGAAGAGATCATTTCTAATTTTAATTATCTGCACCCAGCAGAGTGCAGCATTGTAAGGATTCATGTATTTGTTGAATAAATGATATAGGATAATTCTTAAATATATCTATGTAAAAAGTCTCTTTTTTGCCCTTTTTGTTTCAAGGTATGAGGAAGAATTCATAAAAATTGGATCCTTAAAATATTTATACTTTTTTGTCTGTTATTCCAGAAAAATAATACAACTTCTTAAAAAAATTTTCTCTTGCAGATGCATATGAAACAGCCAAGATGCTTTGTGAACAGTATTATATGGTAGCCCCAGAATTGGAAATTGAAGAATTCAATGGTAAAAATAAAAATTAATTTTGTTCTTACATATAGGAGGTGATTTAGTTGCTGCTAACATTTAGTTGCTGCTAATATGAGCCAACATTTACTATGTAAATGGCTACTTGTGTGTCCTTGGCTAAGACCCTTGAACCTTTCTAGGCATCTGTTTACTTATCTTTATAACAGAGACACCAGTACTTAAGTGTTATTGGTATATACCAACAATGTTGTTGTGAGGGTCAAATAAGAATATGTATATAAAATCAATGGTAAAATCATTTTAGACCATTATTATTTTGTCAGTCAGTTTTGTCAGGGGTTGCAAAGAAAGGCAAAAGACAGTTCATACCCTCAAGGAATTAAAAGTCAAATGTAGGAGACGCTATTCAAACAATTATGTACAAACAAACTACATAGAGGACAAATTGGAAATAATCAGCAGAGTGAAGGCACTGGGATTGAGGGGGATCAGGAAAGGCTTCCTGTAGAAGGTGAGGTTTTGGTGGGGACTTGAAAGAAGCCAGGGAGACCAGGAGGCATGGAGGACAGCCAGCAGAGATGCCCAGAGTCAGGAGATGGCATGTCTTGTTTGAGGAAAAGCAATGAGGTGGTGTTGTCGTTTATCATCATCATCATCATCAACCTATCACCCTGTGCTTGTATTAGTTTAAAAACCTTCTGTCTGCTTTTCTTACTTCTGTCTGGTATCTCCCTTCCAGCCCATCCTGCATCCTGTGGCCAGACCAGTTTTTTTTTTTAAAATAACTTATTTAAAAAATTTTTAAGCTAAACACTTAATAAAATAAGCATTTCTGTATAAAAGTAGAACCCCTCCAAAAAAGGATGTTTGTGCATCTGTAAAACTGTAAACTTCCAATACACACTCCTTGATTTTTCTTTTAAGTGTATAATAAATTCAATATGTAACTTTCCAAGCTGCCCTGCTTTATGCATTCTGTTTGGTTTTCCTTCTATTCTTTAAAAAATACTTCAATAATCCTTTTTTTCCCTCTCTTTTGTTTTTATAACAACCCATTCATTAGCCCTACTCTCCCACCACCTGCTTCCACACGGAAAAAAAAAGAATGACAAAGGAAAACAAAACCTTTGTAACAGATACGTATAGTTGGGCATAACAAATTCTTATGTTTGTCATGTCTGGGGAAAAAAACAACTCATCTTTCTTAACAAATTTTTAATCAGGTCACTCTCCAGTCCAAAAATATTAACTCCCCTTTCCCTACCATATCAAGTATGAATTCTTTTGCCTGGCTTTCAGGGCTCTCAAAAATCTGGCGTATTTCATTCATTTATTCATTTATTCAGCAAGACTTTTTTAAGTTCTATAATGTAAAAGGTATTCTGTCAGGCACTAAAGAAACAAACAACTCATTTGACTGCCTGCTCTGGTTGTTTGTGAACCTAACGTGCCTTTTTCTTAAACCTCATTTTTACTCATCATTTCCCTCATGGATTTGATTGCCCTTTAACCTTCCTTCTGTTCACATCCTTCAAGTCCTAGCTTAGGGCCTCCCCCCCAGATAAAATCATCTTGACCTGATTAATTGGGCCCACATTTATATTTGCCTTTTCTGAGTTCTTATAACTCTTACTCTTTCTACATTTTGACAATTAATCACATTTTTTCACTTTATGTTAGTTCCATCTCTGTAAAAACTTTTTAATCTCATATATTTGGGGGTTTATATTCCTCATGACATCAAGCACACAAGATTAAGACAATTTCTGACTGAAAGGGACCTTTGAGAACATCTAGTCTCACTTATAAATGAGACAGTTGAGACCCACAGAGGTGAAGCGGCTTGCTCGTTATTTGAGCTAAACTTGTCTGTGAGCTCTGAGAGCTCTGTGAACTTAAGGGCTATCTTACCTAATCTTTTTTTTTTTTAAGTACTCAGGTCTAATTCAGTGTTTTGCAAATAGTAGTCACTTAATATGTGGGGTGTTTTTTGGGGGGGGGAATGAATAAATGGATGAATAGACACTTATTAAAAATTCATTTAATTGACCCATTCTTCAGCATTAGAAATAGCAAGTCTTAATTGGCTTTGAGCATTAATGTTTTAGGGTCCTTCTGACTGAAGCACCTTTAAACCTATAGTAGTTTTTCATCTATTGAACTAAAATAGGTTGAGAGGTAGCTATAGACTTTTAGGGGTTACTTCTATCCTATAAGAACAATTAATTGTTTGCAGTTTAGAAGAGCAGCATCTTCTCTAATGCAGATTAAGTTTTGTTTTGTTTTCAACTAGAACTGTGACTTCTTTTGTGTAGAGAACTCCTGGTAAAGGAAATCCTCTCCACAAATACAGAGCACAACAGCTTTGCCACTTTTCATCTTAAAAGAGTTGCTTGGGAGCACTAAAAGGTTAAGTTATTTGCTCACGGTAACACAGTTTAATGTGTCAGAGGTGGGAATGGAAGCCAAGTCTTCCTGACTCTGGTTCTGACTTTTTACCTACTGTGCCATACTACCTCCCTGGAATATAGTAGATTTCCTCTCCTAGGAAGGCTGGGTTCTCCCCAGAGCTCTCTGCTTTAATGTAAAAGGAATAGCTAATTCCCAGCTGAAGAACATTAGAGCAGCCTAATATGAGAGAAATAGCAGTGTGAAAGCATTTCCTGGTTTTCAGAGTGTGTTGTTGGGAATGGAATAAATACTACAGGAAGAGTTGCATCCCTATTCTACATAAATTTGCTACACCCATTAAGTGGACTTGGTTTGTGTATCCCTGATAAGAAACATCTTAGTAGTCCCTCTATGTCTCTTCCTACTGGTTGAGCATGATTTGACATAATGTTCCAGATTTGTATTTGTCGAACTAATGGAACTTAAATTCCCAGGTAGTAACAAATTGCTCTTTTGAGTTAATGGCAGAGTTACTTCCTCTGAAATCCACAGCAGCAGGTCTTTTCTTATTGATTCCCAGATGCCAGCCAGCTGTGTTAGCACATTCATTACTAGCCAAGACTGTCGCACTGAGCAAGTGGAGTGTCCATAAGATAGGATTAAAAAAAACAAATCTATTTCTGGTAGTACCTCACTGGTAATTTTTGGAGCCCTCTTTTCTAACAAATAAATTTAGCATAGATAGTATTAGTTTGCTACTGTCTCGTGCAATATAGACATGTGTTGCTTTGGGAATCTCTTTAAAGAATATCCTTCACTTGTGACAAGTAAAAGTTTTCCCTGTATAAATGGAAATAGGAAATTAGTGCTGGATATCTCCTAAAAATTGTAATGTTTAATAGAATCGCATTTAGAGTTCTACCTAAATGCTTCCATTCTAAATGGATTTATACTATAATGCAATAAAATTAGTGTTAAAAAGGAATTCTGCAGGTTTTCTTTATCTGGGTTGTAGCAAAGTATGTTGAGTCTCTTGTGCTGTTCTTGTGGGCAAGAAGGAGAGACATGGGCTCTCCTTCTATGATTAGGTAAACTATCACAGGAACTATAGAATAGCCACTGATATGTCTGTTTATATTTACATTGAGATCTTTAGTAGAGGTGCCCAGGTATCTATGCTTGGTCCTCTTAACATTTAACGTTTTTATCAGTGACTTAAAGGCATAGAAAGCATGCTTAGCCAATTTTTAGAAGACATTAAATGGGGAGGAGTAGCTGACATGCTAGATGACAGAGTTATGATTTACATAATATAGAATGTTGGGCTGAATTTACTAAAATGAAATTCAGTAGGGATGATTTAAAATACTATGCTTTAGTTTAAAAAAGCATAAAATAAGGAAATCATGGCCAGACAGTGGTTTTTCTGATCTTAGAATGCAGAAATAGGCACCACAAGTAGAAATTGCAGAGAGGCAGATCTTTATGTTGGATGTAAGGAAAAACTTTCTAAAAATTAGAGCTATCCAAACGTACAGTGGGCTGCCTTGAGAAGTAATGGATTTGTACTTGCTGGATTAGGGTTTTCAGAAAGTTTGGACAACCATTTGTCAGGTATGTTATGGAGGGAATTTTGGTTCAGGTATGGATTAAATTAAGTGTCGTCTGAAGTCTCTTCCATTTGTGAGATTCTGTGTTAGTAAAGCATATGCCATATCCCCCCTCATGACCTAGCTCTCTAATATCTTGAATTTCTCCCTTTCTTTTTTTGACTACAAATGTGCACACTTCTCTGTTAGATAAGTATTTCAAGGATTTATGATTTCATTGGTGTGGGTATACTCTCTACTAACGCACAATGAAGTCCTCTATACCTTAGTAAATAGTATTCATGAGTTATTGTGGCTGAAAAAAATTCATTACCTGGTGGCCACCACATATTAAATCTGTCTCAGCCCCACATGCTTGCCCCTTGGACAAGATCACTTTTGGTTGAATGTAGATTGACTGAGTAGAAATAATATGAAATAAATATGAAAAGATACACAGGAACAAGATTTTGAATAAGCATTTTAAGTTAATGTATTGTAGAAGCCATAGGCAGTCTCTGAAACTTCTCAAACAGAAGAGTGTTCATATTCAGACCCTTTAGGAATATCAGTTTGGCAGCTGTGTGGAGAATGGATTGGAGAAGACAGAGACTGAGAACAGGGCAAGCAATTAGAAGGCTATTGCAGTAGTCCAAGTAAGAGGTAATAAAGGATTTAAGGCATTTCAGGGTCTCCCTTGCCATATTTGGTTCCTGAGAGAAATCACTGACCATCATAGCCTAATTAATAAATTGATTATTCATTACCCACACACTCTGTCTCTTGGGATTTTCAGTTGTCTTAGTCTGGACCAATTGTTAAATTTTCAGTGTGAGCATTTACACCTCATAAATCTGCAAAGGCTACATTAGAGCTTGATTTATATTGTTTTGTTGATTGGACTAAAGAAAGCGATGGAGAAAATGTTATAATATATATTAAACTTAAAAATATGTCTCCCTGTTCAACATTTACCAGCACACCACTGGGTAGAGCAGAGTGGGTCTGAGGAAGGATAGGGGTTGGGGCTGAGGAAAGGGCAGAAGGTAGTTTTCACCCAGGCAGCGTTGGATTCTCAACCATAGAAATTTAGAGAGAAGAGAGTTGGTTAGCCATAGTTTGAATGATTAAAATAGCATTTTTTTGAGCTTCTTGTTCCTAGGTAGGCCTTTCTTAGTGCTAAGTAAGGAATCATTTTTCATTTTTTTTCTCCCAACAGAATGGAAGCAATAATTTCATATTATTGCCTATAAAAAAGAATCATTATTTCTTCTTTATAAGAAAGGAAACAGGCTCAGATAAAATAAGAAATTAGAAGGCAAAACCGGAAAAGGATTATACAGGGTCTAGGTGTAGCCTTAGAAAACATTTACATTTTTTTAATGGACTGACTGGAGAGTAAAATATCTTGAATTATAGTAGTATCTTAGATCATTGTGTTCTAGTCAATCAAAAGGAAGATTTTATGTGTAGTTTTGAGGGTCTTCATTTGTTTCCACCTGAGCATGCTTAAGTGTTCATAGCCCCTTTTGCAGTATGTTAATCTACCTGGGCATGTTTCAGCAATTCCCAGAGCTTAGTCCTAAGGTAAGTTATACATAATCATATACCAATAGAATAGCAGAATTTGAATTCTCCATGTTTTTGAATTTCTGAAATGCCACACCCAGCTAACCATCATTTATTATGTTTGAGATTGCATGTTGTTAGTAGTTGTTGTTAGGTTGAGTTTACTGTAGTCTAGGTGGGTGTGGTTTATATTGCTATGATCTATAGTTAATTTTTTCATAAAGTCTCTATTAGGTGGCTTTGGAGCACAATGAGAGTGTAGAGCTCTGAAGTTCTAATAAAAATCCTTAGTTATATAGCTTAAACCTTTTTTTTTCCCCCAAATGAGGATAGGAGTAAGAATCCATATTTGTAATTTCATTGATGTTTGGAACTCACATTATAGAAACCCCTCTAGGCAGATTTAAATAAATTAGTAAGCATTTATTAAGCATCCACTGTTGCCAGGTGTTGTGCAGGAGATAAAAATATAAGAATGAAACAATCCTTTCTCTTAAGGAGCTTACATTCTAACAGGGGAGACAAGAAGTACATGTAAGGATATCCAGAGTAAAAAGAATAAATATAAGGTAATTAAATACAACAGAACGAAGGCAGTAGCAGTTGTCGTGATCGGGACAGGCTTAATGTAGAAGATGATATTTGAACTGTCTTGAAGGGAAAGAAAGATTCTCTAATATGTGATGAGGAAGAAGCACATTCCAGCCTTGGGACAGCCAGGGCAAAGGCACTCAGATGGGCGAAGTATTGTTGCACGTGAGGCTGATGTTGGGCAGGATTGTGGAGTATAGGAATTGAAGTAATATCCCATGAGGTTGGAAAGATAGGTTGGGGCCAGGCTGGGAAGAATTTTAAAAGCTAAACAGAGGACTTGTTATTTTATCCTCGAGGCAATAGGCAGCCTCTGGAGTTTATTGAGTAGAGGAATGACAGGGTCAGATCTGCACTTAAGGAAAATCACTTTAGTCAGAGTGTATACTAGTGGGGAAAGGCCAGAGAAACCAGTTTGGAGGTTATCAGAACTGGTCTGTAATTTATACTGTTAGAGAAATAATTAAGGAACTGTTAGATTAAGTCATTTAGCCAGAATCATGTACTTATTTAATAGGGAATTTTCTTGACTCCAAGATCAGTCCTTATCCACTGTTGACGCTTTCTCGCTACCTCTTAGACATGCATTATATGTACAACACAGAGGTTCTTGCATCTTTTCATACTTTTGTCCTTCAATGAAGGCTTTGTTTTTGTTTGTTTTCAGCAAAAGCTCCAGACAAGCCTATTCAGGTAGTTTATGTACCCTCACATCTGTTTCACATGCTGTTTGAATTGTTCAAGGTAAGTGAAATCTAAGAATATTGAAACATCTTCATTTTAAATTACTTTGATTGGTCTGTAACATATTCATTAGATTAGCATAAGAATAAAACTTTGTATAACCATTTAAAAAGTCTTATTTTGATGTCCTGTGTATCATGCATTTTGTACTGTACAATTCAAAGTTGCTGTGTACAGTATATTTTTTGTAAGTATTTACACATTGATGTGGAAACAATTTTACTATAGTGAATTTTAAGTCCTATTCATATTGGATGTTAATTTTGTGAAATGATGAGTACTTTGGACATGCAAGTTCCTGGAAAAGGCTTTAATGAATGATACACATATCACAAATATATTTATTAGTATCTTATATTTCCAAATATTGCTATTATTCCTATAATGTACTCTAAGTCTTTTACATACCTGAGTCAATCAAATTGATTTTCACACAGCTGAGGCGTGGAGAAAATATATAGGAGATGGAGGGGAAAAGAGAAGAATCTTTAATGCTTCCATTAAGTTGCTACTGTTGTTGACCAAGTTGTGATTCATCTCTTTTGGTTTCACTTCTAGTATAAAGTAATAAATAATAAATTTATCATACAAAATGTAATCATTGAGGTTACAGAGGTGATATCACAAGCAGAAGACATTTTGATCTAAATTTTCATAGTCCTATCTGTTTACATTTATTATTAATTGCACATTAATTGTGCACCTGAGAGATCATAGTTGTAATGATTTGCTTCCAAAAAATTGTGGTGTTAACTGATTTAGCTTTTTAAGGTAGAGATGTGGGCATTGAATTATGAACTTTCTCTGTAACACCTATGGCTTTGTAAGGTTTGCTTTTTACCTGATATTTCTTTTACTTTTTCACAGCAATATAATTATTTTTTGTGGAAAACATGAATCTTGTCTTCCTTGTTAGGCTCTCTGGAGGAAAGGTGTTCTATAAATATAGAATGATAAGTGTGATTTTATATGAAAGTATCAGCTTTAGTATGCTCAGTTTATATGAACATTTCAACTTGGATAAAAAAATCCTTGTAGAATGATGGTCCCCAGACATTTTTGATCTCATACTCCTCTATTAGTAAAAAAATGTTTTTTGAATTTGTACCCCCAATATCTGGATATTTAGTTATTTGTAAATTATATACGTTATATAACTTGCACAGAAGTTAGAAGATAAAAAGGATGAGATAAATATGAAATAGTATTTGATACAAGAGTCAACAGGGAGCTAATAGGGAGTGTGGAATATATAAGTAGAGGAGTGATGTGGTCATACCCTTGTTTTAGGGAAATCACTTTAGCAGCTGTGTGAAGGACAGATTGGAGAGGGGAGAGACAAGGGAGACCAATTAAAAGGCTATTAACAATAGTCCAGGTAGAAGGTGAGGAAGTCTCGAACTTGGGTGATGACTCTGTGAGTAGAAAGGGGTTGGATTTGAGAGATGTGGAGGTAGGAAAAAAAAAAGAAGATTTGGGAACTGATTGAATATGTGGGGTGAGGGAAAGTAAGGAGTCAGAGTTGACGTAAGATTGTGATGATTGGATGATTGGTGATCCCCCAGCAGTAAAAGAGAAGTTTGGAAGAAGGGTGGTTTGGGGAAGAAAGATAATATAATAATTTCTGTAATGTGGACCACAATTTTTCCATTTCTCCTTATCCTTCTTGACTCTGTTCTACCCAACATGAAAAGAGAAGAGGCACTTCTCATTAGTCACTGTCCCTAGGCACAGAGCCTACCTTCCAATGACACCTGCCATAGCCAGGAAATGGGGCATGGAGGCAGAACTTCCAAATGGCACCTGTTCAGATGCAGTTGTGGGTACCTCAAAGCCCTGAGGTCCCTACCCTAGGCCCGGAAGGAGAGAGATTGGGAGCTTGCACAGAAGGAATTAGAAAGAGTGCAAGGGAGTATTGGAAGTTCAAGATGGGTGTGGTAGTGTTGTTGATAAGTCTTAGTCTGTGTCACAGAGTGGGAAGTGACCTATCTTCCTGTTCTTCCATTGGTTGACCACACAATTTCGGGGGTCAATCCACAGCCTCCCCAGAGTAAGACCACAGTGCCCCAGAGACTCTGGAAAGACCTATTTTAAAGAGTAAAGATTTTAATAAGATAAGTATCACAAAGAAAATAAATACTTAGATCACAGAATCATATGAAGAGATGCAGAAGGAATCTTACGTATCCTTTAGTCAGAGATGTCAAACACATAGCCCACAACTCTTCCAAGTGTGGCTGAAACCAGATTAAAATATAATTGGGAAATATTTATCAAAATAAATAAAAATACAATAAAACATAGATACTACTAGTATGTGATTTATTAAGTCAGTGTGTGGCCCACAGGGATCCTTACGTACGGTTTAGTTTGCCCTAATTTCTTTTTAGTTTGATACAGCTGCTTCATTTTATATATGGAGAAATTGTTTCAGAAAAGCTAAGTGACTTATTCAAAGTCACAAAGGTAGTAAGTGCAGAGTCAGGTCTTCTGACACCAAACCCAATGCTTTTTCCATGGGTCATGGGGATATATTTCAGTACATAAGGAATACTTGATTTCATAATTTGGATACTACTTTCAACAGTAGAACCTACAGCCTCTTTTATCTTTTAGTAGATGACTGTCCTAGGTGATAGTCCTAAGCTGTCTTAGGGGCAGCTAAGTGGCATAGTTGGTAGAGTGCTGAGCCTGGAGTCTGGAAGACTCATCTTTACCTAAGGAGGGTTAGCAGGTCAGCAGTTGTTCCATAAATTAAGTTCTTAGCGAGTTGTCTCGGGTACTGAGTATCCAGTTGGGAAGGGGAGAAGAGGGGAATAAATATGGAGCCAGGCACTGTGCTGAGCTCTTTACAAATATTATACCATTTATTCCTCACAACAGTCCTGGAAAGTAGGATGCTGTTACTCTCGTCATTTTATAGTTGTGGAAACTGAGGCATAATCAAGAGTTACATACTCAATATATGTCAGAGGTAGAACATAAACCCAGGTTTTCCTGACTCCCAAACTGACTGGTTCTTTATCTGTTATATCTTTCTGTCTTTGTGGAGAACAAATACTCCTCTCATCAAATATTTACCTAAGAAATAATATGTGCAAATTACCTTACGTTAGCCAAGGGAATGAAATAAATTATTCTCTTTATAATTCCTTTTTTAAAAAATCTATTTGGCTATTTGTTTCTGAAGAAAGATAGGTAGTTATATAGGTAGACTTATGGGGGGAAAGCACCAAAAGCTTTTTTTTTTCTCTTAAACTTTAGAACTCAATGAGAGCAACAGTAGAACTTTGTGAAGACAGAAAAGAAGGCTACCCATCTATTAAAACTCTAGTAACATTGGGCAAAGAAGATTTATCCATTAAGGTAACTGTTTTATTAATGTTCTTACTTTCATGTTATTCAGAATTTTTAAAATTAAATTTTAATTCTTTTCTAATTAATTAGCATTCATTTTTATCTCTCTTCCATCTCCCCCTACCCTCCCCCCTCCAAAAAAAAAAGAAAATCCTTGTAGTTGATACGAATAGTCGTGCAAAAAAAAAAAATTCTCCTTTTGGCCATGTCCAAAAATGTGTGTCTTAGTCTACATGACCTCTTGTCACATGGAATGAATCAAATCTCTGACAAGAGCTGTGTAGTGTTCTTCACTATTGATAGGTAGCATTCTTCACTATTGGTCCTCTCTAGTCACGGACCTGATTATTGTGTTGATCAGAGTTGAGTCTTTCAAGATTGTTTGTTTCATAGTGTTGTTATTATTATATACATCATATTCATGGTTCTGCTTCATTGTGCATCAGTTCATACCAGGCTTCCCAGGCTTTTCTGAAACTATCCCCTTCATCATTTCTTATAGCATCATATTATTCCATTGCATTCATATACCGCAATGTGTTCAGCCATTGCTCAGTTGAAAGGCACCCCCTTAGTTTCTAGATGTTTTTTTTGCCGTAACATGAAGAGAAAATATATTTCTTCCTTGTTCTTTGTTGTCTTTGAAGTATAAATAGCGACATCATTGGGTTACAGGGTACATATAATTTAGTAACTTCTGTTTCCAAATTCCAAATTACTTTCCAGAACGCCTGGACCAGTTCGTAGCTCGACCAGCATTTTATCAGTGTACCTGTTTTCCCGCAGCTACTCTAGCAGTTGTCATTTTCCTTTTTTGATAAACTCTGCCAACCAATGGGTATGAGGTAGAACCTCAGAGTTGTTTCAATTTGCATTTTAAGTTCTTTTAAGTTTCATAACAAGAAATCACATGTGGTAACTTTAAGGTAGAAATTTCATGATGTTCATAAAGTTAGCATTTTACTAGTATATTTGTATTACTCAAAGCTTATGTATATTTTTAGAATATTTCAGGTAATTATTTTCTATAGTTAATGTAATATTTGTTGTATGCCACTTTTGAGAAGATTCTAATTTTTGTATGTTATAGATAAGTGACCAAGGTGGTGGTGTTCCACTGCGAAAAATAGATCGTCTATTTAACTATATGTATTCAACTGCTCCCAGACCTAGCCTTGAACCAACAAGAGCAGCACCTTTGGTAAGATTTCACACACTTAACTAAACAAGATTCTTAATGTAAATCATTGACTTAATTCTTTCTTTAAAAAAGAAAAAATCAACAACCCAGCAACAATACAAACAACCTTTCTTTTTTGTTTTCACTTAAAAAACTTTTAAATCTGCCTTAAGTATCACGGTAGTCCAGGCATGAAATGCTGAGGGCTTGAAACAATATGGTCAGTGGAAAAAAGTGGACATAAAGAGAGATGTTTTGAAGGTAGAAATGACAAGACTTGACAACAAATTGAGTGTGTGGGGTGCGTGCAAGTAAAGAATGAAGGATGACACTAAGGTTGGGAGCTGAGACAACTGAGAAGATGGTGATGCCCTAGGAAGCAATAGCGAAGTTCAGAAGAATGGGGGAGAGTTTGGGGAAAAGCATAATGAACTCTGTGTTAGGTTTTCTGAGTTTGAGATATTTGCAGGACAAGCTCAAGATGTCTAAGGGGCAACTGTTGATGTGACAGCAGAGCTCAGGAGAGAGGTTGGAACTGGATATAGATCTGGAAATCCTCTGCTTAGAGTTGATAATGAAATCATGGGAACTAATAAGACCCTCCAAGCAAGATGTTATATAGGGATAAGAAAACAGGCCACGCCTTGTGGAGGGGGGAGCTGTAGGTCAGTGAGCATGTCTAAATGAAGATTCCAGCAAAGGAGACTGAGAAAGAGCAGTTAGGTAGGAAAAAATACCCGGAGAGAACTAGAGAGCAGAAGTGTAGTGCTCAGGAGTGTCAGAGGCTGCAGAGGGGTCAAGAAAGATGAGTATTGAGAAAAGGCCATTAAATTTGGCAATTAAAATATTGTTGATAACTTTAGAGACCACAGTTTCAGTTGAATAATGAAGTCAGAAACTGTATTGCAGAAAGTTTAGAATTGGATGAGTTGAGAGGAAGTAGACACACTAGGCATATAGATGACTTTTTAAAGGAATTGAAGAGGAGGAACAATTTATAGTGTGATAACTAGCAGCTGGGGTGGGGGTTGTTGGATCAAGTGAGAGTGTGTTAAGAATTGGGGAGTCCAGGGACATATTTGTGGGTTTGTGGGAGGCAGCCAAATGATAGGGAAAGATTAAGGATTAGAGTGGAGAAAACAGAAGGGGCAATCTGCTGGAGAAAATGGGATGGAAGGGATGACCCCTGCATGTAAAGAGGTTTGCCTTGGCAAGATGTGGGTAAAGGAGGAGATAATAAAGAAAGGCATCTGAGCTGTGCGACATGAAGAAAGAGCTTTCAGCAAGTGGCCTTAATTTTTCCTGTGAAGATTTTTCTGAGTCAAGAAGGTGGGATAAAATAAACTCTGCTGTTTGTTTTTCAGATCCTTTACTGCCTGGCCACATATTACCTTTTCGGCCTCATATGTTACTCTCCCTCATAGTCTGCAGTCTAGCTAAACTGGCCTTCTTAGTGTTCTTGACTGGCATGCCATCTCCCACATCTATGTTTTGAACATGCTCTACTTTCCTAAACTGACCCATATTTATTTTGAATTTATTCTGTATATACTTTTATGTTTATGTATTGTTTTCTCTAATAAAATGTATTCCCCTTGAGAACAGAATTAGTTTTCTTCACTTTTTCTTTGTATCTCTAGTGCCTAACACAGTGTCTGGTATGTAATAGGCACTTAATAAATACTTTTGATTGATTGAAAGAAAGGCTTTTTTTTTATGATTGGTGATTCCCAAGAAAACTTTCTAGTGTTGGGAGACCTAGAAAGGTAGGCATTGACATATGTTGTTAGTTCAGGAGTAAACTCCTACTCTCACAGGATTCCCAGTAAATTGATTCTCATCTTTCCAGGTTGATTTAGGTGTGATGGGCTAAACTACAGGAAATTTCAAGGTTTATATCCTTAAGATTACCATGCTTAAAGTTTTAAAGTTTTTCGTTCAGCATATAGAAATTTACATGTCCACTTTATGTTTGTGATATGTATGTTTCTTATAAGCATGTATGTGTCTTCATCATGACCATTGTAAGGATTTCTTTCCTTCATTGTTATGTCAAAACAAAGTGGACACATATTCTTTTGGATTTATGCTGTCAGAGATGCCAGTGGCTCTTTTAACAGTAGATAGCATTTTGGGGGAAAATAACGAAATAAAGGACTGTTTGTTGCTTTTTTTATTTGGCAGCAGGTAGCCCATTCTTTTGGCAACTATCTGAGTCCCATAATTAAAGAGATGTAAATTATAGTATTAAGGAAGTTTCAGAGAGTCTCAGAAAGCTGGAAATAAGACATAAGTGAAAATTGGAACGAATTATTTTTAATCCTAACTAAGTCATCTGGAGCATTATGACTCTAGCCAGAAATAATAGTGCAAGTATGGGCACTACCTGTAGGTTTTATAGATGCAGCTGAAGTAATACTTGGCATTCTCAAACTTGGGTCATGATGACTGTGCTGGGTGTCTTAGAGCCCCTGTCCCTCCCTGTTCCTAGCATTGCTGTATTGCCAGCATGAGAACTTCTTGATGGCTGCCAGTAACTGTGTAAAGAGAGAGGCAGGTGAGAAAGCTTTAATTTTATACCACCCATTAAAAAAAGCATGATGCACCTTTTAAATTGAAAACCGTATTGATGTCACTGCTTTACATTAAAAGTCCTTGAGTTAAGGAAATTGTATATAAATCATATGTGCAGCAAAATTGGCATCTGAATAGTGACACTTCATGAGCATGTTCCTTTTTTTAAAATGTATTAAGAAGTTGAAGTCAATAAACACAAACATTTTCATATTCAAAGAAGGCCAGAAAAATAGAGTTGTTTTTTAACACTAAATATATACAACTTGGTTTTTTATATATATATATTAAATTTACTATTGCTATGCTTGTCTTTGTGCCTTTCTGAACGTTCTTCTTTTCTCCTGTGTATATTTTTAAATGTTCCATTGATATTTTTTCCTTTTTTTTGTTTTGCCATACCTATCTCTCTACTATTGCTATAATTTTTACACACACACACAGACACACACACACACACACACAGACACACACACACACACCCCCGTCCCTCTATCTTGTATTAAGTATATTCAACTGAAACAGCTGGGTGTTTTGTATTGGCTGTGTCTAAAAATATAAGTCTAGTTATGCATTTTCAACCAAGAGAAGGGAGGCATGCTTCACCATCATATGTTCATCTTAATATTCAGTGTTCTTAAGTCTTTCAGAGTTTTTTTTTCCCCCTTTAGAATGTTGTGGCTTTTGGGGATGTAGTTCCGAAATACTTTTGAAAATAGTTGGCCCATTTCACAGCTCCACCATTAATGTATATTAATATGCTCATCATCCCACTGACAACTCCTCCCTCCTCGCGCGGACAATTGTCTTTTTTTGTTGTTGTTGTTGTATTTGCCATCCTGGTAGTGTGAAGTATAACCCAGGTAAGTGGCATATTGGAAAGAGTGCTGAATTTGGAGTTAAGAACATATGAGTTCAGATTATACTTCCACCATTTTCTAGCTATGTGATCCTAGGCAAATCATTTAATTATTCTGTACCTCAATTTTCTTATCTGTAAAATGAGGATAATAACAGTTCTTTCTTCACAGGATGTGTTGAGAGGATTCATAGAAAAAACATATGTGAAGTACTTTACAAACCATAAAGTGATATATAAATCTTACCTGTTTTTAAAAATATACATTTCTCTTTATTAGTGATTTGGAATATTTTTTCATATGGTTCTTGATGGCTTGAATTTGTTCTTTAGAGAACTGTTCATAGCCTTTGACCATTATTAATTGAGGAATAGCTCATTTTCATATATGTGTGTATTACACATAGATAATAATTTCCTTATGTGTCTTAGATACCACATATTTGTAGCTAAGATTTTTTTCCCAGTCAACTTTTTCATTAATTCTAGTTGCATTGCTTTTGTTTGGGCAAAAACCTTTCAGTTTGATGTAATCAAAATTGTCCATTTCATTTTCTGTTCCTTGTTTGATCAAGAACTCTTGCCCTAGCACCTTTCATTGTCCTCTCATTTGTTTACATGACCTTTTGTGTGTAGGTCTTGTATTCCTTGGACTTTATTGTGGTATATGTTGTGAGCTATTTATTTAAACATCATTTCTCTTAATCTGCATTCCAGTTTTCCCAGATTTTGTCAAATTAGGGGGCCCTTACTCTAGTAGTTCATATCCTTTGGTTTGTTAAGCCCTGCAGTGTAGTGTTCACTTGCTTCTACATGTTGTTTATCTAATCTGTTCCATTGATCAACTCTTTATTTTTTTAACCAGTACCAAATTTTTAAAAATAATTATGGCTTTGCAGTATAGTTGTAGATTTATACTGCTAGACCACCTTATTTTCTACCTTATTTCGTTATTTCTCTTGAGAGGAATCTTGAGATAATTTTGTCCGGTTCTATAAAACCATCCTTTGGAATGGGTTTGTATGGTATTGAATTTGGAAATTAATTGAGTTTTCTTTTTTTTTTTCCATTTCTATTATATTACCATGTCCTAAATAAGAACTATTAATTCCTTTCTGATTTTTAAGTTTGTTTATGTAAAAATCGTTTTTAGTTATATTCATATAATTCCTGTATGTGTCTTAGTAAATGTGCAGATATATATTTTATTTTATATTTATAAATTAAATATTTTATATTTTATATTTAAAATTTTATTATATTATATATATTTTCTCTCACATTCTGCTGGTTTTTGTTAGTAATATACAAAAATGCCAATGATTTATGTGTTTATTTCCTGTATTTATTGTTCTCTAAGTAAACCATAATATCTGCCAAAAATAGTCATTTTGTTTGGGTTTTGCCTATACTTATTCCCTGACTTTTTGTATGTTTGTACAATAGCTAGCATTTCTAGAATTATGTCATGGTGATAGTGGACAGCCCCTTGATTTACCTCTTATCTTATTAGAAAGACTTCTAGTGTTTCCCCATTAAAGATTGTTCTAAGCTCTTTGTTTTTGATAAGTACTGTTTTCATATTAAGAAAAGTTCTATTTATTCCTTTGCTTTATGTTGTTCTTGTTGGTTGGTTGGTTTTTGGTTTTTTGGTTTTTTTGCCATAAAAGGATGTTGTAGTTTGTCAAAAGTTTGTTAACACATCTATTGATATGATAGAGGCAGAAATAGCCCCAAAGCCAGGAAAACCTGAGTTCGAACCCTGCTTCTAGCACATATGCTAGCATGTATGAGCCTTAGCAAGCTACCTAGCTTCTCAGTGCTCAAGGCAACTCTCTAAGGCTCTAAGTTGCAGAGAAGTTATATTCAAAATGCAACTTTCAAAGATGTTCTATTTTTCTGTTTCTTTCTGCCCTTCTCTTGTCTGTGCATTTTAAAAAATGTCTCAATGATTCTCTTTTCTTTTTTTCCTTTCCTTTTTTTGGGAGGTGGTGGACAATCCTATCATTCTCTTTGCCTCTTGTTCAGTTTTCCAATTGAAAATGACCTTGGTAATATGTACATAGTCGAGCAAAATAAATTCTCACATTGGTCTTGTCTCAAAATATACGTTTTATTCTGCACCTTGAGTCCAGCAATTCTCTGTTAGGAAATATTTTAACCTGATAGCACAGTGTCTGGCATATAGTAGGCACTTAATAAATGTGTATTGACTGATAGTTGTTGGCATTCAGCTTATAATCTAGTCACAGGAGTAGGGAACCCGGGGTCTGAAGGCCACATGTGGCATTCTAGGTCCTTGGGTGCAGACTTTTGACTGAGTCCAAGTTTTACAGAACAAATCCTTTTATTAAGGGGATATATTCTGTGAGGTTTGGATTTAGTCAACGGGACGCACTTGAGGACTTAGAGGGCCTCGAGGCCACAGGTTTCCCACCTTGGAGAACTTTTTGAGGTCAGTGGAATTTCCTTATTTCTATTAAGTGAAGAGACAGCTATGAATGAAAATTCTAAGTAATAAACTTTTTTTTTGTGAGGACCCCAGAACAAAGAAATCAGGATATTGGAGCACTCTTACTACCCCAGGAAGTAATCATTCTGAGAATTGTTCTCTGTTCATCACTGAGGTCTTGTTACTAGTGAATGGGAATCTTTTACTGTTAATTTAATTGTAGCTTCCAAAACTTTAAAAGGACAAGGAAATCTGCTGATAAAGCCTTGAAAAGTATGACTTTTACTTGTTAGCACTTTCAAAACCTTGTTGGATACTCAAAAAGAACTAGCCAATACTGGAGACCATTTGTGACTTCCATATTATAGATGTTTCTGAAATACATTATGAAAGTTGAAGATATGGAAAGGTTTGTGGCAAATGAATATTTCTCATATTTAATGTGTTTTATATTTGTATTTATTAAATCTAAAATGCATTTTTAAATGTACATCTTTTCTTTGTGATCATGCCTGTTCCTTTCTCTTATTGTGCTGGGCTTTCTTTTATAGGCTGGATTTGGCTATGGATTGCCCATTTCCCGTCTTTATGCCAGATACTTTCAAGGAGACCTAAAACTCTATTCAATGGAAGGAGTGGGTACTGATGCTGTAATTTATTTGAAGGTATTTCAGCTAAATAGTTTTTAAAAATGTTTTTATGTTTAAATGTTTTAACATTATGTTCTTACATTGTAATTTATTTTAAGCTGTGAAAGTTATAAAGACATAGGTAGATAGGTGGTGCAGTAGATAGAGCACTGGGCAAGTCACTCAACTGCCATCTGCCTCACTTTCCCCAACTGTAAAATAAGGATAATAACAACACCTCACAGGGTTGTTGTGAGGATCAAATGAGATATTTGTAAAAGTAATTAGTCTGGTACATAGTATGTGGTAAATAAGTGCTTATTCCCTCCTTCCTTCCTTAGTTATCAGGCAATATTCCTTATTTTCACTCAAGTACATTTCCATTTTATATGAAAACTTTTTTTTCCCTGACTTATGATATTATATAATCTTCCTGCCTCAAGTTACACCCCCTCCTCCAATCCATCTACCATACAGCCCAGCTGCAGAGTAATTTTCTTAAAGTACATGTCAGACCATGTCATTCTACTCCCACTCACCCTAATTCCAACTAAGTTAATCCCAGTGGCTTCTTATTACTTCTGGATCAAGTAAAAATGTTTTGAATTTAAAGCTCTTTACAATTTGGCCCTTCATATATTTCCAGCCTTCTCACACATTACTTCTTCCTATTCTCTGTGGTCTAGCCATGTTGGCTACTTGCAGTTCCTCAGTATTCCATCTGCTTTCTCTGTGCATTTACATAAATGGTCTCCTTCCTCATCTCCACTCCTTAAAATTCCTGGCTTCCTTCAAAACTCATCTTAAAGATCACCTTCTGCTGGAAACCTTTCCAGGGTCCCCTAACTGCTTTTGCCTTTCCACTAAGGTTACCTGGTATCTACTCTGTAATGCATCTTGTGTATACCTGTATGTACATATTGTCTTTCATGCCTTGAGGTAAAGGACTGTTTTTGCTTTTTCTGTTCCCAGCATATAGCATATACTAAGTGCTTAATAAATGTTTATTGATTGATATACACTTAGATTTGAAGCTCTTAGAGATAAAGTAATATTTATGGTATTATTGCATTTGCTTTTTAAATACTTTCCAAAAATTAATGTTTAAAAAGCACTTCTCTGGAGGGTGACTATTTTTTCATAAGCTGTTTGGTATATGGGTTGGCATTTTTTTTTAAACATAGGTACATGCCCAAAGATGTAAGGGCCTAATTCTTGTAATCACAATATAGTTAATGCTTTATAAATCTTTGTTTGCATGATTGGCATACATAAGTTTGTTTCCTCCTGAACAGTATGATTGTAGTTTAGCTGAGCATCCATCATTTGAATGAACAATTTGTCTCTTGACTTTTGTCATGTTGTTCAGTAGATTTCTCCTTAAGCTTGATTAAATGAAAACAGTTATTTAAAAGTTCCTTTGCACGTAAACTTCTCCAGTTTTTTTGAAACCATATCTGTGGTGCTGAGTATGATTTTTTTTGATGGGTAGGAGAAAAAAAAAAGTACTTCCTAATATTTCACTAACAGGTATTTTTATGTGGCTGCTCAGACTATAAGGAATTACTGAAATACAATTTCAACATACTACCCATATCTCATATTCAGTATTTTATAATACAAATTATGGATATTTCACAGACCTCCTTTTATCCTTATAGGCTCTTTCAAGTGAATCATTTGAGAGGCTTCCAGTATTTAATAAGTCAGCATGGAGGCATTACAAGACCACACCTGAAGCTGATGACTGGAGCAATCCTAGCAGTGAACCCAGGGATGCTTCAAAATACAAGGCCAAAATGTAAGTCTCCCTATCTCTCGCTCTCCGTAAATTGTGTTTATTACATATAAAATTTGCCCTTCTTAATCTAAACAGGTTCCTTTATCAGCCAAATCTTTGCAGCTAGATTATTGAAATAAGACTAAGGTATCCTTGGGGGGAAAAAGAAGCTTAGAACATATTTTTTTCCCCCACAAGTAGGAAAAAGTAACATGTGTGTGACCAAAAAGGAAATGTTTCTTTTTAAGGTATATAAATGAAAATCCCTCTGAACTATCAATTTTTTGCACACAGATTTATGATGTTGAGACGGAGCACAGCACAACGTATATAGATCAGGGGTGAGGAACCTATGGCCTCAAGGCCACACGTGGCCCTCTAGGTCCTCGAGTGCAGCCTTTGACTGGTTTGTTCTGTGAAGTTTGAATTCAGTCAAAGGGCCATACTTGAGGACCTACAGGGCCACATGTGGCCTCGAGGCCACAGGTTCCCCGCCCCTGGCTGTAGATAGTTTCAGAGTCAGGAAGACCTTGATTCAGGTCCCATTTCTGACATATACTGACAGTCTGACCCTGAGCAAGTCACTCACTTTTCCTTGCCCAAAGTAACAGTGAGACTCTGTTGCAAAAAAAAGGTGCTGGTGTGCGTTTGGAAAGGGAGTTTTCTCATCTGGAAGTTCCTGATATAAATGAGATCACAGATCTGGTTTCTGTCTCTATAGACTGAAGTTATTTATAATTACAAGTAAGCCACTGTCATGTAACAATCTTCATTACAATCCATTTTTTACTAGTATGGTAGATTTTAAATTTGAATGTTTCATGATTGGAGAACAACAACAAAAAAATCTGCATGGGATAGTTAAAATTCATGCTTCCTACCTCTTTGACAGAGAAGTGATAGATAACAGGGTACAACAGAATGAAACCTATTTTAGGGCCTAGCCAGTGAGAAAATTTTTTATGCTTGACTCTGTGTATTTGCTCCAAAGGCTTTCTTTTCTTTTTTTTTTCTTTTCTCAGTGAGGGGGAAAGGTGGGAAAGAGAGAAAACAGATTTTTGTGTGGGGAAAAATAATAAATTTTAAGATGAAAAGAAAATTTATACTATCTGATTTCAACTTGGTCCTAACTGCTATACAGGAGTTAGCTCCACAAAATAATGAAGGTGAACTACTTGATAATAAAGGAATGTAATAAAGAAGAATAAAGAGGGAACATAACATGTTTACAAATCTTGAGTTCTCAAAATTGCTTTTCTTTTCTAGATACTCTTAGGCTTTATATATTTGCCAGTAGTAGTAAAGAATTTGGACCCAAATCTGTTTAGTATATTTCTGTGCAGTATTGAAATCTTTGAGTTTCCCAAAAAGGAAATTCTGCTCCTCAAATAGATTCATATGTTAAAGTGTACTATGCTGTCACTGAACTCAAAATGATCAGATTTCTATTTTTCTGCTTCAAATCCAGCTTAGTCAGTTTTCATTAATTTACTTTCAGTTGGTAATTAAACAAAACACCTAAACACAAATATGTGACCAAATGGTGCAAGCACTTATTGGGATATCTAGATAACATTATTCATGCAAAAGTAATTTAACTAAATCAAATTTAAATTTCATTTTCCATTAATAAAATACTTTGCTATAATTGAAAATGTTTTAAATGACAAGATTCAAAAAAGCTTTAGTTAATACCTCTGAAACCATATTCCAATTACTATCTCTAAAATTAACCATTTCTTATACAGATATAATTGTAATTTTTCAGTTTAGCTGGTGACTTTTAAAATAATATATAAAATTAAGCCTCAAATTTTATTTTAAATTATAATTGCAAAATAATTATACAAGTATTGAAATGGTAGATTTCACTAGTCACCTAAGTTCTGTATATTCATTACATTTTCATATATCATGTAAGTTTTAGAAATAAGAATAGGAGCAGATTTGACCTCCGTTTTATTATTAAGTGGTAAGGAGTAAAAAAAATTGATAACTTGTAATTCTTCTTCTCTGAAAGCAGCAGGACATAACTATGAAAGAAAGAAGCAATTGTTGAGTAAACTGTTTTAAAGGCCCAGTTACAGTAAAGATTATTGTCAACACAACAACCTTCAATCATTTTTCCTTTCTTTGCAGTGACAAGATCAAGACAAATCGAACTTTCTAGAGAAATGGCTGCATTTGTCCTGTTCTATGAAGATTGTATCTTCTGCAAGTTGACCAGAGAGCGCTCCTTACCACCACATCTTGGGGGGGGGTGGCACCCTAGCTATTCCAGGGCTTGAACATATATTTTCACTGAACCAGCTGGAGCTTTTCCATGGACCCTGTCCTGTAGCTAATCCAGCTCTTCCACTAAAACAATAACCTGAGTGCTTTTCACAACACCTTGGTGTGGTTAGCTGTTTTGGGGGTGAGAAGGTTGATGAGAGTCTGGCACAGGGGAGTATGATGCCTTATATACCTCCCCTGTCTTTCTGCCGTCCTCTCTCATTACTCTAGAGTCCACTGCCTATACTCCCTACCCACAGGAGCTTCCACTTCTGTCCTAAGCCCAGAGTGCTGTGGTGTTTTGTGTTTGCAGCTGGATTCCAGGCTCTTCTCAAACCACTGACTAGGACCCAGAGATACTGAGGAGTGAAGTCATCTGCGGGGGCCTCATCAGTGGGGGATTCCTTTCCCAAAGCCTTGACCTTTCCTTTCTCATTCCACAACCACCTACTTCCCAAGTGACTCAGATACTTCCTTCCTTCCCTCCCTACCTGTTTTCTCTATCACCTTGTCAGGTGCTAGGACTTTCATGTTAGAAAGGAATCTCACCCATAAATGCAATTGATTTTCTATTTAATTTGTACACTGCCATTCTGTTGATTAAAAGTGTTCCAAAAGTTGTCCTGGGACTTTCACTGAGCCTCTTGGTGGTTTCAGAGACCATTAATGAAATAATGTCTGTGGTCAGCTTTATAAAAGGAAATTTAGTCTGCTGGGGAATGGAGTTTTTAATCCTTTGTAAAAACCTAACTTAAACTAATGCTGTATGCATTTAGATTCCTCTAAGGTAGGTGGAAGGCATCTCTGAAGCACTTAACAGTTGCAAAATAGTGTAATTCTTTCTGGAAATTTTTGAGAAGTTGTACTCTAAGAGAGTCACTATTTGAAATCTCAACCATCACTATCGAAATTTAGAATATAGTGTCATTCCTATAATTGTGTTTTGATACCCTTTATTTCCTTTTTCTTTTTTTTCCCCCACTTTTGTTTTTGTTTGTTTTTTTTTAGTTTAGGACAAATGGAAGAGATGGAGATAAGGAACTATATTATGTGAATTTGTCACTTTGACAGTTTTTGAAATGGAAATTACTTGGGATTCCACAGCTGGACTTAAAATCCTAAACCAGGGGTGGGGAACCTGTCAGCAGGTTCCTATACGTTCATTAGCATAGTTTGGGGAACCATGTGCCTGGCCTTCCTCAGAGAGGCTAAGGTGGTATTTTAGGCTCTATTCCTTATTTTATATTTGGGTTTTGGTGAAGATTAAGAGGAAGAATGATACAGTGTTTATTGTTGCATAATCTACTACTTATTCATTAGGAACTAGTTTGAGATGGTGGAACTAATTTCCTTCCTAACTAATCTCCTACCTCTCCCAGACCTTCCTAGTTCTCTCTAGTCATTTGATTCCTTTTTTCTTTTCATGTCTTATTAATATAGGTATGTAAGAATTCTTAACTGTACATCCTAATTTAATTTTAATTTTCTCTTTGTCTTTTTTACACAGGACAGGGTTAGCGGAATTGTTTTTACTACTGTACAAAGATTTAGTGTTTTTCCCCAAGAGCCTACATTTCATGAGGATATGTGCCTGTTAATTATTTCATTGTGTTTTATTTCTTGCCATGGAACCTTATTTTCTTGTATGTCATTGTGCTGCCTGAGCTCATGCTTCCTTCTGTCTATTGCTCTTTGTTCCTTCATCTTCTTACAGTGAATAGTTATTGTTAACATAAGAGTTTATAAGACTGGACATGGTTTGATCATGCCATTTCTTGTAAAGGAGAGAATAATACTTAACTCCAGGAAAATGACAACTAACTCATGCTATCGGTGTTAGGTTTCAACTGGCATCATGATTTTAGGCATAAGATTTTGTGGAAAAGTAGGTTGAGGTATAAACCAGAGATGATACTTAAACTTTTAAAGACCCTGAATGTGTCATGAGCATTGGATATTAAGTATAGTATCTTCACTAGGTTTTGCCTACAAGACCTTCATTTTTCTTCAGTAATACACATATTAATTTCCATTGCTAGATTACAGGTAAATAGGTCCACCAGGTAGTCCTTCCTCATTCTGTCAGTTGTGATGTTAAAAGTACTTATAATCTTTAAAAGTACATTGTGGGGACTGAATGTGTTTAGCAGAGACAAAGGCCTTGTTTATCAAAGACCTTAAACAGAGGTCTTCTACATAATTCTTTTTCAAAAGTTAATTTTTTTTATTTTTAAACTTTTTTAGTTACTTTTTAGTCATTTTCTGTGTAGATTTATTCATGTTTATGTGGCACTAAATAGTAGAATTTCCTTCTATTATTTGTTTTTTTGGGGGAGGGTAAGACTTTATCTCTGCTATTAAGGTATACACAAAAGTTGATTCAGAACATCCTATGTACCATCAAAAGTTTGCCAGCCTGGTAAGACTAGGTGAGATTTTCACTAGCTTTTTGCATTCTTACTTACATCACACTATTAATGCCAGTAAATGTGAGTAACCAAAGACAGTATTGTATTTGTCAGCCAACTTTTGATTACTCGTGTAGATTGATGATCCCAAAGTAATTTATGTTCATCTTTGAAACTCAGAAAGACACATGTAAACATTCATGCCAGGATTTTATCTGGTTGTTTACTTGCCAGGCATGCCTATTCTGTAACGATCAGATTTTCTTATTACATTCTTCCAACTGTCAGACAGTCTTTGGGAAGAGTATCCCTTTAAGGTACTTCGGTTGTAAGTTCCATTTTTTTTTTTTCAATACTGGCAATAAGTTGGATGGATCAAGGCAATGTTAGTTAGACTTGGAAGACATAGGGTTGCATTTCAGGGGCAGGAATGAAGGAGTGAGTCCCATGTATTCTTACTAGTTTCCCTCTGTCCCCTTCATGGTTCTCTACCAACATTTGGATAAATTGTCTCTTGTTGATGAGGGCCCTGGGTGCTGCTACAGTCAACTGAAGAATTCCCATCTTTGTAGGAACTGCTGATATAAAACTGTTATTTCAGGGGTATTACTCTATTAGGGCCCTTTCGGCTAGAGAAGTAACAGTATTATTACAACCTTACTTTTGATTAGCACTTTAAATTATTAAAAGTGCTTTCCCATACATTTTTTCATTCAGTTTTCACATCTAAGGCATGAAATAACAGTAACTTATCTCTATTGTGCAGCTGAAAACACAGAGGTCCCAAAGGGAGTGATTGATTTGTCCAGGACTACATTTGTTTTGAAATTCTCCACCCAGGGTCATAAGACCTCTATCTGAGTATTCTGATCAGCATTATCCTTTTGGAACACCTTCTAAGGATATCAGACTCTTAAGTGTTGCAATACAATCAAAAGCTTTCAGATTTTACAAGATACTGTCACTCAGTAGCAATTTTTGTTTAGTTCACATAGTAAAGAATCACAGTTACGTTAACTTTGGTAGCTTTTATATAGGCAGATCATTATATACTTGAGCATTTATTAAACTCCTACTATATGCTAGGCAGTGTTAGGCACCAGGGATTCAAAGCATATAATCTTTGGATTTGAAGAGCATACAGCACTTTTATAGTCTATATGTTAGTGAAGAGAACAGACTAATATTTGTAGGAGGGAAATACATTAATTAATTAATAAACTTAGAGTTTCTTTTTGAAGTTATGTTATAAATCTTAAATTACTATATTCTCCTAAATTCTAAAATTAATGAATTTATTATTAACAAAGGGGTAGTATATCAGTCTAACTTTTGTTACCCACAAATGAATATTGGAATAGATTGCAAGGCTTCTAGGATTACATGAACTATTGCTGCAGGTAAGGGTTTTCTGTTGGATACCTCTCTGTAGGATCAGACTTTGTTTTATAGGTGTCCAGTACAATGCTACGGTACAATAAATAGTAAATTCTTGTGCCATTTTTAATGGGACCCACTCCAGCCTGGCAGTCTTCTCCATTTGTACCTAACATTGGTAACAAGATATCGGTCATATGTTTGGTTGATAAGTTTGAATTCTTGGGTTATGGGAATCCTAAAAGTAGGAATGGCCTAGTCCAACTTTCTGCCTAAAGGAGAACTCGGACTCCTCTCTACTCTGATTGATCGTCATCCAGCTAGCCCTTCTTCTAGTCAGTGTCATAAATTATAGTGAACCAAATAATGAATTTAATAAAATTAGGCAAATAGAAAGTTAACTGCATAACCTGAAGATTGTCCTTGTGTGAAAAGTACTTTTCTTCCCACAGCATAACTAGTTTCTCTGAGAGGAAATAGTAGTCATTGCAGGTTTTTATCAATCCCATATACTCCCTATCTGGCCTTATCTTTGTCTCTAGTCTTTGTTTAGAAGTGAGCCCAATGGACTATTAGGAAATGTACCCCCAGGTGAGAGTTTGTTAATTATTTCTACTATTCCTGTTGCATAACCAATTTTGAACATATTTTTAAATGGAATTTTTTGCATTAAAATGCTAGTAGTTTAGCAAGGGAATTTTTGTTGAAAATCTCTAAATGGAACATTTTTATTCTTTTCTATGTACTTGTCTTTCAAGAACCCTTCCCTGTAGTTCTTAGTTCCTATTTTTATTGTTACGGATTTTAGTGGGTGGAATTAACATTGGTGTGGGCAGCTAGGTGGCTCAATAGATAGAGCACTGGGTTTAGAATCAGGAAGATCCATTTTCCCGAGTTCAAATTTGGCCTTGGACACTAGCAGTGTGACCCTGGGCAAGTCACCTAAACCCTGTTTGCCTCAGTTCCTCATCTGTAAAATGAGAAGAAAATGGCAAACCATTCCAGCGTCTTTGCCACGAAAACTGCAAATGGGGTCAGGAAGAGTCAGACTGGACTGAAATGACTCAACAACAACAAAGCATTGGTGTCCTTGTTTCTTTCAGTATTGGTTTCCTGCTTTCCAACATTTCTTTGTGGATAGGAAAGCAAATTGGAGAAACTGTTAGCTTTCACCATCTCTCTCCCCTCCTTTTTTCCTGTCCTGCCCTGCCTGTCACAGGGTATCAAACATGATGTAGAATCTTAAGAGTTGGAAAGAATTCTAGTAGAGGTCACCTGGTCTGACTTGACACAGCAAGTCCAGTTTCACTACCCAATCACCGTATGCAAACTACTCTAACTGCCTTGACAGTTATGACTGCCAGATAATCTGGTTTGAAGCTATTAGCAGTATCAGCATTTTTCATAAAGCTGTTGAGTAACAGAAGGGCTCTTTGAGATGAAAGTGTTAAAATGACTTAGCTTTGACTTTTTGGGGTAGTCTTAGTTGATTTGTTTCTCTTATGTTAGAAGGTTTGAGATGCTAGATCAAAGAACAGTAAAGTGAATGTGAACTTAAAAAATATTTTCTCTGTTCTATAAATCCTTCAGTAACATTTGGATTAATCAAGCATAATTAAGTGTAGTTAAATTTTTGTCAAATACTGTGGTTCAAAATAATATTCGTCTATGGAGAGGGTAATATATTCTGTAGAAATTTTATTAAGCACTTCAGTTAAGCAATACTACAGAGAACAAAATCAACCTCAGGAAGGTTAATTACTGAAAAATCCCATAAAGTACAGTAGATTATCTTCCATGCCTAAATTATTTTAATTTTGAATACTGGCTTAAGTTT